ATTATTCATTACGTAAAGATCCAAACAGCCAAAAAATGTGATGAGATTTAACAAAAAAAGGCTGAAAAGCATGGCAAAAAAATAGAACACTGAAGGCATAACTGAACACCAGAGCATACTGTTTGACACGAAATATTCCAACTACAAGTATACTCAAAATATTTTTAAACAATTTGGATTTTATTCCCTCTGACATAAGTAGTTACAACACAATGATCACTTACAGAATTAACCAATGCAAAAATCCTTTCTATTTTAAAGAGGTATGCCTAAATACTGCATAAACATTGTTTTAGTTATTTTTTCATCTTCCTTGCAAGTCTGATTTAGTATATGAACAAACCTTCCTAAAAATGTAAATACAGCAAAGTAGAAAAAATTAGATATGGGAGCCTTAATCAAGTTGTAAGTAAAATTCAGTGGGCCAAAAGAAGATTTTAATTAAATTTATTTTACACAAAGTAATTAAAAAACAAGAAAATGTTTCACTCTAAAGAATTAGGGCAAGGGGGAGAATATCACAATGGCAAAATGGTGAGTGCAGCATTAGTACGAAAGAGCTCATTTTTTTACAGGTAAAGATTCAAACAAATTCAAGAAAAAAGATTAAAAAGACATCGCTACTTGGAACTTTGTCAAGCCAGATCCTGATATTCTAGCAAGGATTATATACACAGTTTATATAGAATCTGGAATGGCTTTGCAGAAAAGAAACCCATCACAATGGATACGGCTCAGTGAGGACCTTGTTAGTACAGAAATTAGCAGTGACAGACATGAGGTTAATTCCCAGTTTAACATTATTTTCAAATACTTCACAGGAGCCATGCCATGGACAAGACAAACTGTACAACACTAGAAACTAAGCATACTGCTGTCTGAAAGCAATGAAGACTGTTGACAACTGCCTTCTTTACCGAGCTGACTGGAGTTGAACATACAAGATAGTTCTAGTCAAATACAAAGCAGCCACAGCACAAAAAAATTACTCTTGCCACTTTGTTTACACTGGTTACTACATTCACATAGCTGTGTGCATATTTAGTAATTCTCTGTACACTATACTGAGCTGCTCAAAGAGTTATTTCCAAAACCACAAAAGCAGCCTCTCTTTGAAGAGCAGTAGGAAATTACTAGAGAACTATCACCCCTCAAGCAGAGCTGGACTGTGCAAATGCTCCAGCACGATAGGTAGCATTTGCAGTTTCTACCTCGCTGCAACAAGACCAAACTCAGACATGGAGTTGTTTGTGTGGAGAGTCACCAAGACTTTGCCAAAGGCATTAGGGCAGTCCAAAACAAACAAAAGAGAACACAATAACCCATCAGAAACAAACAAAAAAAATTCCAAAAATGAAATTCTCCATCACCCCTCTCCTCCAAACATTCTTGCCTATGAACAGTGTTTCCCAAAGGCACCATATGAAAGCAAATCAACAACCAAATGATGTGCAGTCCATACAATTATGTAACACACTTGTTTCATTACATTAAAATGTTAGCATTCTTGCTCATGCTTTAAAATAGTTTAAAGTTAAGACTTAATGATAAAATGAAACAATCTTTATGGATATTGCTGCTTTCTAGTTCTGAAACACTGTATTTTAAATGTACACATATTAAGGCCTTTGGGACAAGCTATACATCTTGACTAAAAATTGCTAGCTACTTGGAAACAGGCAACTTGGAAAATAAAGCATGTTTTAACTACTCAGCTCTAGATAACTACCACAAATATAGACCTATATATGTGTGTATAAAATTTATTTATATATCTTCTGAAATGCACTTCTCCCCTTAAAACTATCAACACACCACCTTCATAATGATCTAATAGAGTGGTGTCTTCCTCAGTCTAGTTAGGAAATTTGGCTGCCTATCTTGCAGCTAAAGGTTTGTGAAAGAGCCACGAGATAAAAACAGTTGGCACATTTTTTTGTTTCATTAAAAAGAAAAGTCAAAAATTATTTTCAGGCTATGGTCTCCAGACAACCAGCGCTTAGGGCCTCATTGTTCTAGTACTGCACCAACAGCAGTTACTTCTTTAGAAGTTACTTCTTTAGAAGTAACTGCACGCTAAAATTTTCATACAGCCAGAAGCTATGGCTGTAGGCACACATTTCAGATAGCTGAGATCAGAAGCAGCTCCAAGAGTATTTGACTGCTAGGAAATTACCATACTTTTCCACCACTTCCAACATTTATTGGAATAATGCAGTTACATAGGACACTGCACAAAATTGAATGACAGTTGAATTTAACAGTCCCTGCTGGCTTGTTTCCTCCCAAAGCTAAAAATTCAGAGAACTCAACATCCTCCAGGTCAGCAATTCCCTACCCCATGACATAGTCTTCCAACTTGAGAACTGAATTTGAACTGATCACACACCATACTTAACAGAAACATGATGGTCTTTTTAGTGCTAAAAGCCAGAAAACTGCATTGATTCCAAAAGCTGAAAATTCAAATTTCACCCTTTAACTACTGACTATCACTAGCAGGTATCACAGCTCAATAGTCAAACAAATTGAGAAACATGGAACAACCCGAGTTTGTTACCAGAATAAGAAGTTTCTACTACACATCACTAATGAATGGAGCTTGAGGGGAAAGTCTGAGGAACCATACTGACCTCCAGCTAAATAGTATCTGGCAAGCTTTCAATATTTTTTATCTTGTCAATAGGAAACATTTACTATTCACTGGTGAAGTTAAACATAAGCTCTGAATTCTCAAGAAACTGTGGAAAAACTGCAGACAATTAACTTTGGATACAGAACTGCAAAATCCAAAGAACCTTATGTATTTACTCAATAAAGGGATTTTGAAGTCAGCTGAAGCCCTCCTGTAAATGTCACTAACAGAATTCCAGTTTCAGATTTCAGAGAATTTAAAAATACTCCTTGTAAACTGTTTGAAGCTAACATACCAATCTCCAGCTGCTGACCGAGAGAGGTGTGTATTATTTATAATTTCAAATTACGAACATGTATTTTGGAAATAACAAGATCTTCCAAAATTAAAGTCTGTACCAAGCCTCTTGACCAGCATGCTAAATATCGATATCAAACTGCTGATTGTCATTAACAGAATATTCATGCAAGAAGGTATCCAGAGACTCACAGGGAGCATTCTGCACCGGAGGACTAGGTGGATCTATTACCACAGAACACAATGTGCTCTGTTATTCTAATATTACCTTACCAATGTGCTCTATTATTCTACTATTACCTGACATTGACCGAAGAGAAGATTAATTCACCTACCCAAAACTACACCTTTACAAGAATAAGATGTTTTGGGGATTTTTTGCAAATAAATAAAAAAAAAAAATCCTATCACAGTCTGAAGGATCAAACCTTTTATATGAAGGCAATCAGTGTAATTTTCTGCAGGCCTAATTCAAAGTCCACTGAAATTAAGTTCAAGAATCATCTATTTCTGTGTGGTTTGGGTTAGGCCCTATGATAAAAAAGAACACCACACCTGCCCCCTCAAAACACAAGTGAATCTCTCCCTAAAATGTCCCAGTATTTCACAACTTTTTTCAAGTTATTTCAGCATAAGCCATACAAACTATACGTATGCATACATACGCTTAACTAATGGCTATGGAAGCTATAAAGCAGACTTTTTTTTTTTTTCCCCATTTGATAGCATCATAGTAAAACCAACAGCAGCCAAACATCTCAGAAGAAAAGTTAATACCAGAATTAATTTACAAGTTCTAGTTCTAGACTCAAATGAGGCTCCAGCAATTTAACTCAGACATGTTAAAATGGTGTTTCAGAATGACAAGTCAAGTGCATGCTTTGACCTAAAACGCTTATAGACACCACACTGCCAGAAAACAAAACCCTTAAAACAAAGTTCACATCTTGGTTCCACTAAAATATCAGAGAAGGAAGACATGGACTAGTTGCAGAAGAGGCCCAATTACTCACATGAATGTTATGCTTAGAAGCCAAGCAGGTATGCACAAATATGCAAATTATTCTCTAGGGCTCCTACTCCCAAGCGCTTTACTGATGCAATTTTTATTCGGGGGCAGGGAAACAAGAGCGTCAAATACTCAAAACGACTGAGAACGACGTGCGACCACTCGATAGAAAAAGCTACTGGGCACAGACCCCACGATCCTGGAAGACGTCCCGATGGCACCTGAGCTCTCCCAGAGAGGGTCCCCGGCCAGGGCGGCAGGCCGTGGTTACTAACTTGGCCTCTACGGGGGCTGAGAGCCGGAGCACGGCGAGCTGCACACGCAGACACATTATCTCCCGCTCTCCCTGGGCTACAAAGGGAAAGACGAAGGCGGTCGCTAGGGGGGGGAAGCTGCCTCCTCCGGAGAAAGACGGTCCTACCTCCGGGCCGAGAACGGCGCCGGGAGATCGGGGGAACGACGCAACCCCCGCAGGAGGCGGCCGGGGGAGAAGGGCGCAGGGAGGGCATCTCCCCGGCACAGCCTTTCCCGCCCCTACGGATCCCCGTCTTTTCCCAGGGAACGTTTATTTTGGAGGGGGCGGGAGAGAGAGAGAGAGAGAGAGAGGAAGGGTCGCGGCTACTCACATGGGCTCCAAGGTTTTGCTGAGCCAGGATTTCAGCGCCTCGAAGTTTTCTATGATCATTTTAACCACCATCCAGAGCGGCCCGGTGTCCCACCCCCCCCCGGCAGCAGCAACAACAGCGGCGGAGGCGGGGTCCGCGCCGCCCCGCCGGCCGGGACCCCGGCTCCCGCCGCGCCTCCTCCCGCCCGCCGAGGCCGCGGCCGCCTCCCGGTTCGGCAAAGGCCGCCTGGCAGGGGCCGGAGGCCCAGCGCCACGAAGGGGGCGGAACCAGCCGAGCAGCGGCTGCTCCCTACGGGCCCCGCTCTCGCTGCTCCTTGACCGGGGAGCGCGGTCCGGCCGCTCCGCAGCTCCCCCCCCACGCACACACACACCCCGCCTCAGCGGCGAGCGGAGGGCAAGGGGGGGCCAGCGAGCGACGAGCCCCTAAATGCACCGGCCTCCCCACCCCCCCCCTCCGCCCCCCTTCTCTTCTCCCCTTAGCCGCAGCGCCAGACGGAGCGAGCGGGCGAGCAGGTAAGATGGCGGCTCCCCGCTGTCGCGAGAATAAGGAGTCTCGCGAGGAGAGGGTGGCGTGCGGGGCCTGCCGGGAGGCGGGGCCGGCCGGGCGGGAAGGAAGGGCAGGAGGGGACGGAGATGGCGGCGGCGCTGAGGGGCGGCCCGCGGAGGGGAATCTCCGTTCCCGTGAGGGGAGAGCGGTCCCCCGGCCCCCGGGGGAGACGGGAGAGCGCTGTAATAAGGAAGTGCGCTCTGGGGAAGGCACGAGTGCTCCATTCCTCCGCCCTCCGGCGTGAACTTCCGTAAATGTTTGCAACTGACAGGACAAATAATTTTTTTTTTTTTTTAAAGGTCGGAGTAAAAACAAAAAGTCTCTGAAAACACGCGAGTTGTCAGCAAAGTTCTGTGCCTTCGCGACGCCTGCCCTGCGTGGGGTGGGGCAGTGCTGTGGGCTGGTGGATGCTGACACCCACCCGTGTTGGGGGGTTCTCCGGCCAGTTCGGGCCACAAAGAGTGGACCCGACAGAGGAGCTGAGCCCACACAGATGCTCGGTCACTGCCAAAGACAACAGCAGTCGGGGTGCATGGACTAGTACCCTGAAAAAACAGTGCTTACCAGTGTCGGGGCCTTCCCGTGAAAAGTTAACGTATGCTGCTACTTTCACTGGTACGTGGGGTTAACCGGGTGCTGAAAGAAAATGTCCACAGTGAACGTACCTCGGTCAGTCTGGTGGGCTTCTGAAAGATGGGTGTCTCACCCAAGCTCCCAAGTGAGGTGCTCTGCACAGTTGATGAACACAGGTGTTTCAAGATTGTTCGCTCTTTCTCAAGGCAGAGGGGATGACTCTTAAGCTGCCTGCCTTGTTATCTCAGATAGAGAGGAACTTGAGATAATTGACATTAGATGGCAACCATGGTCTTGGCTGACCTGTCAATTTATGAGCATCCTGAAGTCCTACCTTTCTAATGCAGTTGGAATAACAGCAGAAAGAGCCCTTAATAGCTAGGGTGAAGATGAGAAGACATGTTTGGAAATAAGGTAGGATGCCTGTCTGTTCTCCCAGCGTGGGAACTCCTTCAAGATCCGTCCCCGGGTTATTACTGCTCATGGGAACCCACCACGGACCACTAGTACTTCTGTTTGAAACTGCTCAACTTTACTTTGCTGCATCTGTAACGGCGCAAGGGTCCTTTGGCAGTTACAACCCTTATTTACAATTTTCCATGCCACTGAGAAGCACTTGACCTCAGCAGAGAGACTGACAATAAACCCAGTATCTGAGACAGCTAAGTAAGAACTGGAGGAGGCTAACGATGCCTGCATGTGATTATTTGAGGCTTGATTATCCTCCTTGAAAGTTTGTTGAAAACTGGAGAGTGCAGCAAGCCAACCAAATTAGCTGCCAGCTTAGTAGGTACTTCAGTGAGGACTTCCCAATTACAAGATGCACTTTGGTTTCCTTACGTGTTGGAGAATGAACAGCACATCTTGTCAGTAGACAGAAAATCACCAGAGCCTGAAATTCTCTGGAGACTGCTCTGTAGACATCTAAAAAGTCCTTGGTTCACAGTCACCAACTTGTAAGTTAACTCCCGCTGAACATGTAGAAGGGGTCACTGAGCTTGGGATTCTGATGGGGCTTTGAAGGGATGGGCACATAGAAATTAGGCATTGTGATAAGAATCTAAATTTGGGTTTGGATCTGTCCTTTAATCCTTTGCAAAAGCCAGTGTCTAGTGGAAGTAATTCAGGCAAGCACTGTGTCAGTCCACTGCACTCTCATCTTTGTAATTACCTTTGATCCTTGAATATACAACGGCGAGCAAGAAAACACAGTCTCAAAGACTTCCCCACATAAATGTATGGATATAACCATGGTAGCAGCTTCTCTGTGTTTGACATTCCATTTTCTAAACTGCTTTCCAGCCATTCAGAAGCACAGTGCTATAAGTAAATGAAATCTGTGATTAGCAAAAGGATTTCATGAATACATTTTATGCACTGGATAAAACTTGTTGCATGTGGTAATTTTTGAACATTACTGGGTTGATAGAAATATGCTGTTACGACACTTGTGTGGCAATATTCATAGTAACTAAAATAAATAAATAAATAAATAAATAGATACTGCTGACATTCCCAGTTCTAGAGTTTGCAGACTTGAAATTCAAGGCCTTATAAAGATTTAGATCCCACATCTTCAGAAGTGACTGCAATGTTCTGTAGCATCTTTTAGGCAATGTTAATTTAATTTCATATCAGGAACTAGGGGAGTACCAAGTAAAACTATTTATAAAATTTTTAAAAACACAAAATAAAGAATAGTCTTTTCTTAAACTTTAGTCACGTGTGAAGTTAGTATTTTAACTGAAAAAAATCCTGAAGATCATATTTAATTTAATGCAACTTAATAGAGAAGCTGTGCAAAGGGTCAAAGCAAGTATTGACTTCTACAGTGTAATTTTTCTGTGCAACAAATAAGTTTCTATTTCTCCTGTAGCTGTTCAATGTAAAATTCATGAACTGTCCAAAGGAAAATAAAACATATACTAAATTTCATCCCTACCTGTGCAATTAAAACCCTGAAGAAGATAACAAGGAAAAAAATGAATCTGAAAAGATTGGAAAGCAGCTAAAGAAAACCCGAACACTTTCTCCTTAGGTTTCAACAATTTAACACCTTCATTTAAATAATCAGTTTCTGTTGCTAAACGATAGTGATATTCTATATCATGTGTATGCACTATGGATACCAAACATTCAATAGAAATGAAATAATAGGGTTCTTAGAAATATATATTCTGTGGATTAATATAAAAAGTGCATTTTAAGATCAATAATCTTAAAATATAAATAAATTTTTATATTAATAAAGTAATACAAATCTAATTCGCTTATTTATTCATGCATCAGAATTGCAGATTCCTAGTAGCCCTGTTGGCTTGTAAAAACTCTGAGTTCTTCAGAGTAGTATAGATGTTTTCATGTATAATAACTCTCAAAGTTCATGGGTTTGGTGTGTGCTTAGTTTGCAGTAGTCTTATCTAACTCAATTTAGTGACCTTTGATGTCTAAAAATAATGGGTTGTATTTATTCACATTTTTATTGTCTCATCTACTCATGTGAGAGTTGAATGTTACCAGCCAAAGACAGAGATATCAAGCCTTTTTGAGATTTCAGAGATTTTATTTCTGCTGACTCCCTTCCAAAGCTATTGCGCTTGTGCTCATAAACAATCTTTGTTAGTGTGTAAAGCTGCAATTTTTAAGTGTTACAGATTTTTCTTTCAAAGCTGACATTTTTTAAAATGTCCACAGATCTCTTTTTAACTGTTTTTAACCTTTAATTTTTTAATAAAAACAGTAGTTGTGGAAGAGAATAACTTTTGGGCACATCCATCTTTTTGCCAAACCTATCCTACCTACCTTCATCAGTCAGTGTTTATGTCATACAGAAAAAAGGTTAATTCTTTTTTATTTTTTTGCATGTTCGGGTTTGGTTTTTTGTTTGGTTTTTTTTTTTTTTTTTTTTAAGAGTTTAATCTTTTTGAAGCTGCCAAACTGATCTATGATGTGAAATTCTTCAATCTATCCTTCTAACACTACATCTTTTTATTTAGGAAAATGCAATTGCGTTTGCAATTGGATTTAAACATTCATCTCTGATTGTAGGTTTTCTACTAGAGTTAAATGGGATTCTGTTTTTGCGCAGCAGATGTAATCTGCCAGTTCCAGACTTGAGGCCCTTAGTGTCTCCCAGAAAAAGCATTTAAGTGTTACAGGCCTCAGATATATCTGAGTGGATGATCTGGAGATCAAGGGTGCCAAGTTCTTGCAGCACACCACGGCCCCCTAGCATCAATGCACGGGTTAAAACAGCAGGGCTGATAAAACTGGATGACATCAGCATGGCTTGATGGAACAAAAACATTTTTGTATGTTGTTCAGATTTTTAGTTTCTACCTTAACTGAGATTTGGGTTTTGCTCTTAGTTGCTCTTTAGATATGTGTAGATGTACATCTGTAGATGTACTGACTTTGCTCTGTGTAGAAGAGTCAAATCATATTCTTCTTGATACTTCTTGTGTACTCTGTAGTGAGTTTCATCTCAGGAGGCATCAGTGTGAGTTTTGAGGACAATGTCACAGAATGGATCCAGACCTGAAGACTCCCCCTTCTCTCCTTGACAAATAGCAAATTTCTGTCAATTCCCGAGTGTCCGAAAGCTGAGGCATTTCTGCCTTTCCTCATAAATACACCTACTAATGCTTCAACAGAGCAGCAGGTCACCTTTGTATTACTCTTACTGGACTGTGTCTCAAAACGATCAATCTTTATATGAATGTTTAGTCCTTTACTTTTTTACTGTTGACTCCTGCATAGTGAATTGAATCAAACTGAGCTATCACTGCTTAAAAACTGTAAAAGCTCTCAGACCAGATGGTCTTTAAGATCTGAATGTCTTCCTCTAACCTTGAAACCCCAGAAATTTAATCATTAAATATGCTGTGGACATTAGATGACTTACCGTGACCATGGTCTTTCTATACAACAGGCCAAAGCTATAGGATTGTGTATCTCTCCTGCTTTCTGTTGCTGCAGGAAGAAGATAGGTGATACAGCTGGAGAAAAGGGCTCTACGTGGCCCTGCTGGAGCAGGGAGGTTGGACCAGATGACCTCCAGAGGTCCCTTCCAACCTCAACTATCCCTCAATTCTATGAATGGCTTTTGACAGTGTCCCAAAGCCACAGGTGTTTGAAGTATTTGTAGCTGGTGCATGTAGCATTTAGTCGGAGATTGCAAGTCATAGAATTGAACGTTGCATTTTTGAACTGACACAGCAGTTGTTTAACAGGTTTTCTTGAAAGCCAAGGTCAGAACAAGTTGTTACAGTCAAAAGTCAAATATACAAACTCTGTGTTTTTTATTATCATTTAAATATAGAGACAGTACCAGTAGTGGATATTTAACAACGTATATCACACTTCTAAAGTCACATTATGCTAAGTCTATATTGTGTATCTCTACATGGCCCTGTGTCTTAAAAAATAAGATGGGTCGGTTTTGTAATACAAGATGCTCATGTTGTGGAACCTCATTAGTTTGTACTAACGCAGGGACAGCTTGTTGTGTACTTTCTCATTAGCTTGTACTAACATGGGGACAGGATTGCTCCACTTTGCCAATGGCAGCAAAATTAAGCTTGGCCCCTGCTTGTGCCTGTGGGATGACTGGGAAAGAGCCCACAGTGTAATTAATACCTTCTCTTCCCAAAATGTGGTGGAGCAGGAAACGAAAGCTATAGCTCATAACTTTGCCCCTATGACACCAACCGGCAGAGCTTCATCTTCCAGAAATCTTCTCAGTGCAGTCAGCAAGTACCAGCTGTGTCATTTGGGTCTGTGTGAGCAAACAATTATGGGGCAGAGCCATGCCTGGATTTGTGCCTGCACATGGGGTAAGTGGCCACCCCCATTCCCCAAGTCCCTTGGGTAAACTGCTGTGATGGAGGCAGCTGTGAGGCCCCCGTGCCTTGCAGGAACATGGTGGCTCCAAGAGCCTGGGTGCGGCTGGAGGCAGCTGTGATGCTGATGACGCCGCGGTCTCATCTTTTGTGTCATGAAGCACATGCTCTATGTGTGGGATTTACTGCTAAGGAAGGGAGGCTGGCTTCCTAGTAATTAAGTAGGTCCATCCCAAATGTTATTTCCACACTCCTGCCTACTGGGCGTCTTATACACCAGCTAATGCTCAGCCCCATTTTTGGCCATAAGCCTACAGTTTTGGGCCACGTTGCACAGCACGTGGACTGTTGGCTCCTGGAGTGGCAGATTTTGAGTTGGCACTGCCTAGTGTATTTTCCTATCCAAATCCTATGCAGAAATAGAAGACACAGTATCCTTTCCATTTCAGGTGTTAGACATACAGAAACTATCAGAGGATGCAAGCAGGATCTTGATTTTGCCCTTCATGCTACCCCTTATGTCCAGCCCACCTTCCTGTTAAACTGAACATGTGTAGAGAAAAATTATTTTTCCAAGCCAGCATTTGTGCAGGATAGGCCATGCTGGAGATACAGTGTTCCTGAGCCACACTATGAATCACCTTTGCCTCTGATATGGCTCAGCTAGCTAAGATCATAACTGAACTGGTAGTAAATGAGAAGAATAATCACAAGTGGCAGAATGTACTTTATCCATTGAAACCACTACTTTACTTTTTTGATTATAAATAAATAGTCTTTTCAGTTAAAACTCTACACCAGCCGTCATTAAAAACTGCTCTGACAAGCCACGTGACTAACCCAGCAAAGATGGCTTCATACTAGAGATGTAAGAGCTCCATGTTGAGTGTATCAGAAACACTGCCAAAGAATTTTAAAGGATACCTTCTGTCATATTTGAGGTGAAAGTCGTATTGTTTACACTATCAATTCTTCTTCACAATAGACTACTGTATACAGAATCACATATGGTGAAGCTGCGAAGTCTTGGTTGTATGAGTTCTTCCTACAGAAATATACAAATAAATTGCTCCTGAAAGGATGAGGCTATCTTTTATTTCTGTTACTGTTTGCTTTGGGAGAGTTATTTCGTTTAGAATTAGATAATTTTAAAAGGATCTAATTTTAGTATTAAAAAGGTTATTTAAATCTTCTTTGTGAAAAATTTATTAGATAAACTATTATTTTAAAATTTTCAGATTGACAACCACAGAGATCAGAATTTCTGTAACTGATTGGATTATTAAAAATTACTGCACTATTATAAATACTGAAAAAGTGCTGTCATCCATTGTGCAGGGCATTTTTAAATATTTCAACTGCCAGATCTTGGAAAAAAACTTTCAGGAAGTTTGGGAATAATTTTTTAACTATTCTAATTTCCATTTGAAACAACTTTTAATTTTTCTCGTTAAGGAAGATGAAGCAGTACAGTGGTTTACGTTTCTGTTCTCTCTGTCCTGCACAGGCCCCAGCCCTGATAGGTTAGGATTTGTTTAGGTCAACGCCGCTGCAGAACCAGAAGAGGGAGCACAGACATTGTTTCTTCTTGGTCATGCTGTGGAGGCAACTTCGATTACTTCGCAAAGAAAACCACTAAACCTATTTTTAGAGAAAGGATTGTAGAATACAGTTTTCCTTCTTTTATTTTTTAAGATTTTCTTCATAAGATGTAATTAAGGTAAAATTAAGAACTAGATATTTTCATTAATTCTTACCAAGCCAAAAAATCTATTAATAATTGTATGGATGGCTGGTATAGCATTTTAACATTTTTAACACTTTTTACATAGTATTTTTACATTTTCTTCTGTATCCACTGAGGAAGGTGAAGCTTATCAGAATCCAAATATAGTAGTAAAGCTTGATTCACTTCAGTCTAATATTAGAAAGTGTCTTTAAGCATGTTATTATATTTGTACTCTAACTTCAGATGATATATTTACTCAGTAATTTTCAGGTATATTTCTATTAAAAACATTTTAAAGGCACAAAGGATACATAAATTCTTTCCAACTTTTCAATAGTAATTGTTGTAACTTCTTGTATCTCACCTCTATCACAATTTCTTCTATTTCTCAGTTGTTATAATTTCTCATACCACTCAGGTGTTCCTGACTTTGTAGAGAAAATCATCAGAAAGTTGCACCCTGAGAATCATTTCTACTACTTAATCTGTTGATGTAGGAGAGTCGCATTGCTTTCCTGTAGTAGGACTTGTGTGAAGCTTTTTTCAGAATTCCTGGAATAAAACTAAAATGTATCATCCGTGTAATGGCTTTGTGGTAGTGAAAAAAGATTCACTCATGCCTCTGGTTTTGCCTAAACTGGCTTCCATGTGGGATTTGTGAGAGCAGGACCCAAGATCATCTATGGATTACTTTTTCCAAAAGTGGACATTTGCAAGGAATATGTGGCATGATCTTGGTCTTGTCCTCTTGAATAAACATAGTTAAATATTGCACTTACTCTTCCAACTTTGGTCCTTTTGCTTCTCCCTGTGGGATAAATTACTGCCCCAGTAAATGGATTGATGCTTAACAAGCAAGTTTTGGTATTACAGAAGTGTAAGTTGATTTTGTGATAGACTTAAATGAAACTAGCTTTTTAAATTTTCTTTCATGTCAGCACCTGTCTGTTGAATAGTACCATATGTCTTCTTTCAAACCTCTTCCTGAAGTCTGTGTTGTTTGCAGAACTGCTTGTCAGATTATTAATTATGTTTATTTGTATTTCAAATTAATCTTACAGATCCTATTGACTAGGTTTGAACTTCAGGTCCCAAAGGTATTAACTCAGGAAAACTCCACAAACAGAATTATTTTGGTTGTTATCGAAATAAGATAGGGTGAATATTACTTATACTGTATTCTGGGTATGCTACTGAATGTATTATATTTTGAGCACATATTCCTGTGCTGACACCACAGGATGACCATGTTCACAAATCCAAAACTTTATACCTTAGCATCGTTCTCTTGAAGCCAATGGAACTGCAGCCTACAGGAGTCTCTTCATTTGGTGTATTCATCCGTAGGATAGCCCTGCTGTCATAGTGATTGTCACTGATGGGTCAACAGCAGGTTGTCGTGCGACATAAGGACTTGGGAGCTTTTTCACTTTTTACCTTTGAAGCTGCAGGCTTTGTGCATGAGGGCCTTATTGCCCTTTCTTTGCAGAGTTGCTCATCGTTTTGGTGTTGCTTATGCAAAGGAAATGATCCTTTCTGTATATAGGTTAATTTATTTACATTTAATAAACAGCATGACGTTCTGTTAGACTAATTATCAGTTTTGCAGATTAATGAAAATTAAAAACAAAAGCATGGTTTATGCCTGGTATAAAAATATATGAGCTTCTTTTACGTATTAAAAAGCTGCCATCATTTCGGTTGCAGATCTTCGTAGCTACAGCAGCTACAGAGCTGCTGGCTACCATACCCTAAGTTTAAGTGGACACCAGACTTCATCTGAAGGCTTTATACCAATGTAATACTGTTTGAGACACCACTCCATTAAAATAGGAGTTGTTCAACAATAGGTTTCTAAATGAAAACCTGAGGATGGAAACTTGTTCCTCATTGCCAAAGTGAAAAGAAGCATGAGGCGAGGCTGTCCAAAGCCTAGCTGCTGCACTTGAAGAAAACATCCCTTGGGTTTCCCTGGGCAGACAAGGCATGCTCTTGGAAGCCTGGTCTGCAACACAACACAACACAACACAACACAACACAACACAACACAACACAACACAACACAACAGGTCTGTGTCCGAGGAGCATGAACACCATCAGGAGGAGGACCACGCACAAGTCAGGCAGTGCCCGAGTGAGGCTGCTGGCTGTCCTGGCTGCCGACTGTGGTTCATGGCCACAGACTCTCTTTCCCGGGCGCTCATGAAGCAGGAGGCTGGCTTCTCTCTTAGACAGCACACAGCCAACACATCAGGTCACTTGGTCACTCACCATTGTCTCCCCATGGCTGCTTATCTACTGAACAGATAGTATCTTATTGCCTGTTGTTCGTGTATGGAGAACTTGTGGGAAGTGGGATGGTAGGAGGCTGTCTTCGCCATGGTGATCACAAAGCAGTTGAGTTGAAAAAATTTTTTGGGGCCACAAGATGTTACTTCTTTTTTTCTGCAGACACCAGAATTTCATCAGAGCACTAATGTTGCTGATAAGATATTTCTGCTGACTTCACATGACGTGGATCAGTCACATCACACCATCATCATCATGTTGCCTGAAAATATTAAGGGAAGCAACCAGAAGCAGCATCAATTGCTCATTCTGCATTCATTCATAAGTAATAGATCCTTCTCCCCAGCTCTGGGTGAGCCCCTGGCAGTCAGAGTCCACCTTCCTCTCCCACATCTCCAGCACCCTGCAAGTTATATCCCTGCAAATATAACTTGTCATTAGCAGAACCTGTAACTGGGGGCTGTTATCTTCCCACCTCTAGAGAGCCAGCCATTACCAACAGAACATGGGGCCGAAAAGAGAATTCCTAAACAGTGAGAGTGGCAGACACTGAACATTTCCAGGTGGGGACAGCAAAACAATTCCTTCAGATTTCTTAACAGTATTGGCTGCAGCCATAAACACATCTCATTATCTACCAAGGTTTGTGTAGCTGTTCTGTGTAACCCAACAAGTCACACAGCCATGCATTTGCTACCACATGCTATTACAAGCATGTCTGAGATGCTTGTTCATCTGCTCAAGGTGAGGTGATGACCCACCTCTTCTCTCCATTTTATCTCTTTTTGTTGCATTTCCTGAAAAGCGGAAGGCTGGATGTAGATTTATACAGACAAAATTATAAGGGCTCGGCTGTAGTAAATGTCTCAAGAGATTCTGAATTCCAGAAAAGATTACTGTCTCATAGAAACTCAAAATTAACATTTCTCACTGAAAAACATTGCTGTTTCTATGCAAATATTTTTTTCCCTACCAATAATCTCAAGGAGCTTCAGCTAGAACTGAAAGGTGGTGTTTTGTTTTGTTTTTAAATATATTTTTTAACAGACTTTAAGTATGGAAGAAAATGCTGCTGAATAATTTTTTCTTATACAAAATGCTTCTCAAAGGACTCAGGGATGATGACATTTGATAGATCACTGAAACTGTCACCCTGTTTCAAAGCCTTTTCAAGATTGGGGCAAGCATTGGATCACATCTGGCTGTTTCCAAGAAACTTAATGATGGGAATTGGGATCATGACCCACTAGCCTGAAGTTAAAAATTCAAGCAGCAGTTTACTTATTATAGCTTGCAATAGGTAATAATTGGGGGGGAATATCGACTTTAAAAAGTTGTCAGGTACAGGACTGGGAAATGAGCGGTAAGTGGTGCCCCACATTTGCGGGGCACATCCTGACAAGGCATTTGAAACCCGGGGGAACTGTCACACCCCACTTTCTCTTCTTTACCTGGCCATACCCCAAACGCTTCGTTCCCAGCAGCTGCTGGGTTTTTTGCTGGTTTGTTTTCTTTCTCCATTCCATTTATTCGTCAGGCTAGCCTGACACGGGGCTTCCAAATCGCCGAGGTAACCGGTTCCGTGAGCGAGGAAGACCCAGCTCCTCCGCCAGCGCTACCCCCGGTGCTCTCCTCTAGACCTCGCTCCTCCCTTTGTGGCCGCCGAGCACCCGGCCGGGACGCCTCCAGGAGGCAGCCCGGGCCCCGCCGCCCCGCCCCGCGGCAGCCGGGCGAAGCCAGCGGCCGGAGCCCGGCGAGGCGGCGGGAGGAGGCGCCGCCCGACCCCCGGCAGCCGCTGCCCTCAGCGGGACCGGGCGGCGCCGCCATCACGGCGGGAACCCGCCCCGCGCGCGCGGAGGGGGCGGGGCGTCCCGCCTCGCAGCCCGCCCGCCGCCATTTTGGCCGGTTGGCGTCGCTTCCGCCGCTGGGAAGTAAACAGGGAGGGAGGGAGCGGGGCCGGCAGCGACGCGGGCGGGACGGGACGGGCTGGGCCGAGACGGGCCGGGCCGGGCCGGGCCGGGCTGGGCTGCGCTGCGCTGCGCTGCGGGACGAAGAGGCGCTGGGTTCGGCTGTGGTGGAGGGAGCTGATGTCGCCGGAGCGGAGGCGCCAGCGCGGCCCGAGCGCCGGTTGACGCGCAGCTCAGCAGGGAGCCGCCAGGTGAGGGGCCGGGAAGCGGCTGATTCTTCCTCTCCTTCCTCTGGATCCCGGCTGCGCCGCCGAGGCAGCGGGAAAAGAGGGCTCCGAGCGGGGGGGGGGCGGGGGGCGGGCGGCGGGCGGCCCGGGGCCCTGCCCGGGAGCGGGAGCGGGGCGCCCGCCGCGGTCTGTCAGAGCCCCGCGCCGGGCCGGGCCGGGCCGGGGGGGGCCGGCCCTGAGGCGAAGCTTCCGCGGGAGTAGCGGGGCTTGAAACCTGCCCCGGCGTAGTTATAGGGGGTCGCTGCCCCGCTGCCTGCTCACGGCAATGGTAGTAAACTGTGGCTGTCTCGTTGTTTTCAGCAGGGCTAGCTGTTGGCGGTGATTAAGGAGCGGGTAGGTTTGTGTCTGGGTCGCCCCCTCTTTTAAGTCCGTTCCCCCCATGAGTGCGCTCGTTTTGTTTCTAGAACAGCCGTACTTAAGGTGTAAAACAACGTGAGCTTTGCTTCTTGTCCTACTTGGTGACTGAACTATGTGATTGTGGTTGAATGCGACTGTATTTTAAAATTTTTGGTGTAATGAGTTAAAGATCAGCAGAGTTGCTATTCTGGATTTCAAGAGAGCAAACTTTTAGCTACTAAGAGAACTAGTTTGCAGTGTCACCTGGGAATGTGCTTCTGAGGGCTTAAGGAGTCCATGAGAGCAGGTCAGTTTTTGAGAATCACCTTTTAGAAGCCCAGGAGCAGGTAGTCCTGGGGTGTCCTAAGTCGGGCAAGCAAGGCAGAAGAGCAGCTTGGCTGAACAGGGAACTCCTCCTGCAGCTCAGGTGGAAAAAGAAATTGTATGATTTCTGGAGGTGAGATCAGGCTTTGCAGGAAGATCACAAAGGTGTAGGTCACGTGTAGGGAGAAAACATGGAAGGCCAAAGCTCAAGCAGAGTTGAACCTGTCCAGTGTTGTGTTAGACAATAAAAAGGGCTTCTTAAAGTATGTTCATAGCAACAGGAACTCTAAGGAAAATACTGGACTGTTACTTGATGAATGTGGTTACTTGACAAATGGTGATGAAGAAAAGGCAGAGGCATTTAATGCTTTTTTTACCACAGTCTTTGATATTAATGATAAACCTTGAGGTGCCCCCAGTCCCCTGAGTTGGAGGACCATGAGTGTGGGAACAGTGATTTTCCATTTGTGGATACTGCAATTCTAAGGGATCAGCTGAATATATACAAGTCCATGGGGCCTGATGGATTTCATCCCAGAGTACTGAAGGAGCTAGTGGATGTTATGGCAGGATCCTCTTTATCATCTCCCAAAAGTCTTGGGAGTCTGGGGAGGGCTCTGCTGACTGGAAGTTGGCCGGTGTTATTCCAATCTACAAGGAGGGCGTGAGGGAAGATCTAAGGAAATACAGAACTATTAGTCTAACCTCAGTTCCTGGAAAGATTATGGAGAAGATCATACTGGGTGCTATTCATAGGCATTTAAAGAATAATGCAATCGTCCAGCACAGTCAGTGTGGGTTCACAAAGGGAAAGTCCCACTCAGTAATTTGATATCCTTCTATGGTATTTTTCTACCTGCCTAGAGGATGAAGGGAAGGCAGGAGAGGTAGTTGTTCTGGATTTCAGTAAGGCTTTTGATACTGTCTCTCACAGTAGCCTGGAGAAGATGTCCTACTGTGAGATGAGCCAGTACATGGTGCACTGGAGGAAGAACTGGATGAAGGGTGGGGCCCAAAGTGTTGTATTCAGTGGCTGGTATAGTAATATGGAGTGAATGAAGGTTTCCCGTTTTTAACACCTTTTACGGACTATGTTTACACTTTCTTCTGCAGCCTCTGAGGAAGGTAAAGCTTATCAGAATGGATGAATCCTAGTGGATGAAGGGAAGGTGATGGACGTAGTTTTTCTGGATTTTAGTAAGGCTCACATTAAATGCCGATAACAGCAAGAACACAGAACTTCCTCAGACACTAATCTGAAATTGAATTATTTTCTAGAAGAATAAATAACTCTATAAGGATTTTCTATCTGCTGTTTATGCAAAGGTGTGCAGGATTTTGCTATTAAAAAAAAAAAAGATGCAGCACATCAAATATAAGAAACCTGTTTTGTTTGTTTTTTTTTTTTTCTCTAGGAAAAGAGGAATGAAGACACACAGAAGATGACAATGATGTTTTACACAGTTCCATAAAGGACTCTGACCTGGCCTGATGACAGTGATTTTTTTTGCATCTAACTTCTGATTATTGTAGTAAAATGCCCCTTTTTTTCCTTTAATTTTCCCATATTGCAGCGTAGGTCTGTCATGTATTTCAGTGATGTTGTGACAGAAAAAGCCCTCTTCTAAAAATTCTCCTCTCTTCTCACTAGAGGGCTCTCCCAAAATACTGACAGGGGACAGTTCCACTTACAGAGACACTTCTACTCTAGATACAGGCATTTATAGAAACGTTTTGGGCATGGTAATGGCTAGCCTGCAATGAAATTAAATCTCATCTTTGTCAGGTTTTGCAAAAAGAATTGGATATTGGTGTTTGCTTATTTTTTTAATACAGGCATATATTTGCCAGGGGGGTTACTGAAAAATAACCTGTGCACATTCTGAGTGAAGCTGGCAGATTTTTAGATGTATAAATCTTGTAAATGTAAGAATAAACACAATTTTTACACAAGTATTTCACATCTTCATTATCACCCATAGTAATATGTTAATAAAGCTGTTGGGTCAAGAAACCTTGACTGTGCTACAAATCTGAAACTAAACACTTACACCAGTGCTCAGTAAATATGTCGTTCAAGTAAAAATAGAAACTACTGTCATCAGCGAAGGGTATCCATGAGGGAATGATATTTTCTATAAATACACTAAGATACTTGTGGATTAGCTTAATCTAATGAAGAAGATGTAAACAAACCAAAGGATGGAGCTTTGAATGGAGGAAGTAGAATGCATAGAAAATGTTCAAGGGAAACTTCTCTGCTCGTTAATCCTTAATATTATGCTGTGTTTAAAAAAAAGAGCAGCATTTCTTGTTCGTTGACCAGCTGTTACATTAAGAACTTGTAAAATACTATCCCTAAAGAAGTCAGTCAACTTTAAGATGAATTTCAACAGGAACAGAATTTATTTTATACTTATCTTACATTTTCAAACATCAGCCCGTGGTTTTAAGTATATACATTTCAATTTTCTGTGTGAGATAGATAGCTGAAAAGGGACACATTTTCAGAGGGTGATTGCTTAGTGTTTTCTGATTGTAACATTATCTCAAAACCAGGTATGTTTGTAACTCATTCAAAATAACTGTTGACGTTTTAAAATTTAGGCCATGGAGTTAGAGACACAAGAATGTTTTCTAAAGAATAATTCATTTGCTTGCTATAACCCTTCTAATGTTTCCATAGTTATCTGTAATCAGAAACTGATGGCTAGAAGTTAATTTGATATTCAGATAATTTTGACAAAACTTACATAAAAATAATACTAGAAACTTTAAAAATGTTGATGAGGATATGGATAAAAATACTGATAATAATGCAGTTTACAGTCACATGTTACAACAGGACTTCTACAGAAAGAAGTCCTTTAAACTTACTTGCAATGAAAGCATAGACACAAGATACAGAAAGGGAGCTCTTTCAGCTTCAGAATTTGACTCGTATCAACATTTATTATAATCTTGTTGGTTTAAAAACCAGTGCTCCTCACTATTCAAAGAGGGTGAAGGGTGCAGAAAGCCTGCAGGTAGATGTCATATCAGATTATGAGGGAGCAAGAGGAAGACCTGGTTTCGCTGACTGAGGAATTCTCAGCTAAGCCATGCAAGGAAAATACCAGCTGGCTTTGAAGCCCAGCCAGATTTAAGTGAGTTAAATTAGTTCGTGTATGGCCCCATTAAAGTCAGTTTGTATTTGGAGTCAGTGGGTAATCTTAGCTAAGGGCACAAAATAACTTTGGAAGAGATAATTTAATTTTCCTTTGGCGAAAGTTACAAAGCTAATTAAACTGTAACTTAAGTAGAGTACAGTTAATGTCCACACAGACACTAACCATTTTAATAAGTGAAATTATAGTAGTGGCGTTTTAGCATTTAATGAAAATCTGCAGATGTTTTCTATTGATTTTTCTCAAGGGTATAGCCCATGATCATATTGGGCTATATATAGTCTAATATATATGTAAACAAAATAATCCACCATAAATGGGATAATTATTCTAAAGGATAATGAGCAGCAAGAGGAGGTAAAGGACTTTCATGTAGCTAGACAATAAAAGTTGTTGGCCAGATACACTGTCTACATTTGGCCTTTTTTCATTGTCATTTTTGGCATTTTCTAGTCGGTAGAAGTCATACTTCTGTTATTTATTGATCCTCAAATGCATGTTTGGTTTTGTACATACACATAGAAATTAGCCACGTTCCTGCTCCAGCGTTACCCAAAACACTAGGTGCTTACAATACTTCGAGGCTTACATGATGCAGTAGAGTACAAGGTCATATTGGGGGGCGGAAATATAGATCTATATAGGATGTATTTTAAAAAGAGAGTTGAATGAAGAAAGAGGGTTATTTGGTTCATAACAAGTTACAAGCAGTTCCAAAAACATCTGTGGCACCACCTGTAACGCAAGGACCCGTATGTGCCTCTGTGCTCAACACAGGGCTGTGCTTGCTGACTGCTGTCCGGCTCGGCCCTGGCCGGAGGCAGCAACCGTGGGATCCCCCACGAGGGCAGGGGGGCTGCGCGGGCAGCGGCTGCCTGGCAGGGTGCAGTCCCGTGGCACCCAGACAAGAAGGAAAGAGGAGAGGTGGGGCTGGTGACTGGGCCAGCCAGCAATCCGGGTTGCTGGACGTGTCTGTGGGGATGAGGCAGGGCTGGGGTCGAGGGAAGTCGGATCAGCGGGTGGGGATTGTGTCTGACAGCAACCGAGGTCAGGCACCACCCGCCCATCTCCTGGGAAGCCCGTAGCGATGAGGCGAGTCCAGGTCAGGGTCCTGGCATGATGGACGAGTGGATCAGGAAAGGGTTCTTGCAGCCATTCAAAATAATGATGTACTGCATGGGGTTTTTTGTTATTAGTCAACGTTTCATCTCAATTATTAGAACGTGGCCGTTGCCAGCAACATGGCCAAATGCTACGTTGCTCTTTTTCTCCTTTCCTGTTCCTGTTTTTTTTTAAACCTACAAATTCCAGTTGACTCTGAGAACTTGGTCAGAATTCCAAAGCATACCAAAAAAGTGGAAAAGTTTACAAGGTAAACAGAAAATACCGATATTATTAGCACCATTTTTCAAATGAGGAGCAGCACTCGGTCAAAGTTATACCTGAAGACATGAACTCAGTTCCACAATTCCTGTGCAAGGCCAGTCTCCTGCCCATCACTTGGCTGGCGAGGGGTCCACGTTCCCTGGTAGCGACGAGCAGTTGCGCGTTCCCCGCTGGAAATGCCCGTGACACAGAACTGGTGCCATTGGACCACTGGAAGGTTTCTGTGCTCCGACCAAACTGGACGAGGTATTTGCACTACTTGAGCAGCGTGTGACCGCAAAGGTAATGTTTACATTATCAGACCCAGGCATATTTTCACATTCCTCGGGGAAGACGCACAGCCAGCTACGAGGCACAGGCACGTGCTGACTTCCATATCTACTCCTAGGCCCTCATTTCTGAGGGAAATTTCTGAGGCTAGACAGAAACGAGAGAGCCACAGCTGCCTGCATGTCTGTTCTGTCAGGGGTTCAGGACCCCACCGCGTGGCCCCAGCAGGTCAGGCTAGCCATAGACACAGACTGACATGGTTGCTTAGGTCTTATCCTAAACAGAAACGCTTTTTGAATTCAGGCATTTCCTGCCATCATTTAACCCTCAAGTCCTTTTGTTTTACAATTTAGCCCTTTCCTGCTGCACGTGATCGCTGGGTAACTCAGAGCATCTGGAGTCTTATGTCCACCCAGTCTTTTTCCACAAATTTCTGTGAGAAAATGTTACAGTGCTTTTTTGAAGAGACCTGATCCTGAGCAGTGCAAGAGGAGCAAACCATCAAGTGGTCACAGCTTTAGCTTGAAAAACCACATTGCTTTGCAGTCTCATGTTATTTTAAGCATACACAATGGACTTTCAATTAAATGCAAATTAACTAGCTGATTTGTTTAGTAACTGTGTGTAACCAAGCCCTCACAAAGGCAAAAGATTTTCATACTTTTCATCTTAACATTATATGCTAAAATTGAGTATGTGAGAACAGATGCTGACATATTATCCATGATGCAGAATATTTCTGGATCTCCTAGTGTGTTTCGTGCATTAGTGCTGCCCTGCAGATGTTAAAAAGTAAGCTAATTTTGGAATGGTTTATAACCTATACAGGCTGTAACAGACTAACCTTGCATCTCAAATTAGCCTGTGGAGGTTGGTATGTACATGTGCTATAAATTAGACATAATATTTTTATAAATTTTTAAGGATACTGTAAAACTATAACATAAAGTACAAGTAGTATTAAGTGATGGTAGTTTATTAAATGCATACACGCTGTATATTATTGATCACTGTTACAATTTTAAAGTGTCTAGATATCCCAAATGTCTGTGGGCTCTGAACAAATACATTGTATGTGACAGTTGATGCTATTAAGGCTGTAAGGTGCAGAGAAAAGGTGGGAAAAAAAAGGAAAATACAACAGTAGAAAGAGATTTGCCAAAGCAATCGTCATTTTATTAGGGTGTCTTCAGTGTGCTGAAGATTTCTAAGTCCTTTAAGACTTTGCTGGTCAAAATGGAGTAGACAAGTGAAATAGCCATGCATTTACAATTCATTCTGGACTTAGCTAGCCAATCCACCACTCAGTTCAAATACTTTTTTAAGTCTAGCTGAAGTCAGCAAACTTAAGCTCTTCCTGTCCTGAAAGCCAGCAGGTTCTGGACCCATCCAGGAAGGATGGCTGACCAGTGCTCTGCATAACCTCCTGTGCCCGTGGCACTCTCATGGCATATTTATGTTTCATGAGATTAAGCAAAAACGTGCTCAGTTTTGTGTCTCACCCCAGTGACTGTCAGTTTAGGCCCCTCTCATCGTAAGGAAAGGATCCACTGGTGCTTTTTCTCACTAGGTGTTGAAACGGTTCAATGGATAGAATAACCATTTTGGTTTAGTTACAGTGCAAGGATATCTACTCTGCAGGTGTAGAAACACTGGAGCTGGCACTGGCACCACGTATTTTACAGGACATTAGACCCGAAGAACATCAGTTCCTGAGTGCATAGTACTCACTGAGTACATCACAAGATGGGACTTCAGAACCTATGTATTTTTTTAACTTTAGACAGACGTTAAACACCTAAATAAACCTTTTTTTAAAAAGGTATCTTCAACACTTCAGCAAATACATTTATCTTTGTAATGAAATACCTGTTCAACTAAAGCTGGAGCAATGTAGATGTCCACAGTACTACTGTTTTGCATACTGTGCTTAGCTCCTAACCGGCCTTTGACCTAAAGGCAGTGACATGAACAAGAGTTATAATTCAGTATACCTAGTTTTATGTCTATAGGGTCAGCAAGAAAACTGTGGGACTGCACCAAGGAAAAGTGGGCCTCTTGCTGAAGGTGGTGGGTGATTCAGGTGGCAGCAGACACATAAGCTCGAGAGGCTTGATAACTTCTTTCCCT